TTGTTGTTGTTGTCCATAGACCGATACTGTATGGACAGATCCGATCCTTCACAAGAAAAGCCATGCTTCGATTATGCCGGTGGGTGTGTAAATTTGGATGTTGGGAAAGGGGTCCTTGTAGTTTCAAGGTGGAAAGAGAGTAAGGCCAGGTTCACTGCTGGTGGGGTGGAGGGGCAGTTAGCACTCCATTGATATGCATTTAAGTCATTCTCAACAGATCCCACCCACTTACCACGAGGCATGTTTCGTCAAACCCATTGCCTCGGACCTGCTTCACCCGCTTCCCCATCACAAGGCCTTTGGTCAACTGACTCGATGTTGATTCGAACAAAAACATCACTGTGAGAGATCAACATATCTGAAATATCGTCAATATCGTATTGAAGCTCAAATAATATATCCCTCATGAAGAACAGCCATCAGTGGCCAAACTCGTTGGTATCTCGGTCAGCCCAGTTTACAGGTGCCCGAGGTGAAATTGGAAGTCCATGCCGCTCGACAGCAATCTGGGAATGGAAATGCACAGCAAACCTCTGGGATGCTCCAAACTTGGAGGTGGTATGAGGTGGTAATTCATGAACATTTGCCTTGCACACCTTCACCTTTGCTAGATCTCAAGGAACCATGATCGCGGTTCCTTGGGATTTCTTTTGAGCTGAACACTGAAGGGATAGAAACACCGTCTCCATACTGTCGGCCTGAGGTAATTCGTCCAATGAACATTCCACTTGGCCATTTTACTTGGATCCCATGTGTGTGTGGAAGTTTGTTTGATGATTGGGTCCCCTCTCAAAAGTACCCATTGGAGTTTCCATCCGAATCAACTGGTCCAATGAACTGATTTGCACAGATACAACATCATCATGAGCAACCTGTTTCTTTGATGTGTGTTTATCATGAATGTGAACTTAAGCGCTCCTAGAAGAGCTTCCTCAGAAAAGGCTGAAATAGTGCAGAAAAGACTTGGCAGGGCCCTTTTCCCCCTTTTCTCTCCACGGGGTGGCTGTGGACAAACAGTTTTGTGATGTTTTGTGGAGTCACATTGGCCACGTCGACTCTGGATTTTGAGAGGTCACTCACTCCGAGGAGTCGTTGAGAGGCCTCACCCTACCTCACGTGTGCAGTGTGTGCACATCAGGTCACATGGAAGAGCTCCGTAAATGTGTTTTTACAATTTCTTTTCCGACCGCAAGAGATGAATGGATAAGAGATGATCGTCCAACCTAGAGGCACGTCAGCAAGGTTCATCAAACTGTTACAGCTGCTTTTGGGGGGATAAGTTGTATCATTCATACCGGGTTCTTCATGCAAAGAAATACTTTAAATTGAAAGATCACCATCCTGGCATTTCAAGGCATATCCACCATGCAAGGGCAATTTTTGCCGTTAAGGTCCGGTAGTGCCCACTGCGATCTGGCGCTTGCGGTTGAGGTCCGGTGGTGCCCACTGCAATCTGGCCCTCGCGGTTGAAGTCCGGTAATGCCCACTGCGATCTGGCGCTTGCGGTGGAGGTCCGGCAGTGCCCACTGCTGGGGAAAGAATAACTGGTGATCTCATCCTTGGTGGAATTTCAGGCTAATGAACGAGTGCTTCACTGACCGATCTCCCAACCCAACTCCCCCTCTGTGGACGAGGCTCCAGACAGTGGGCCCTCGGACACGCTGACGGAGCGGACGCAGGAGTGGAGGGACTCTCTCAGGACGCCTCGGGCACCAGAGCCCATGAGAGAAGAGAAGGAGCGCGAAGAATCACACATGAAGCTACATTGTGAACCCTTGCTAAGTAACTTAAAGAGCAGTGGAGTGCTGTGTCACGCAGTTCCCCACGCGGCACTAGACTGCACTAGAGATTTGGTTTTGCATATAGGGTCAGCGTTGTGGGACCATGTGGATCTGGCAAGACATTTTATAGAGAACTTATATAAGGGATGCAACATTTCCCTTAACAACGTGTTGTTTTCTACAGTCGTGAATCTCTTACAAATTTCCTTAAATTGTTTTAATCTCAATTTTTTCGGAAACCCTTAATCCGCTCAAATTTCTTCGGAAACCCTATTCTGCCAAAATTGCCTTCAATATCCTTAACCTTCCCAAATCTCCCTTAAAAATCATACAGTAACTTTCCCAAGTTGCCTAGGAACTGTTTTTGTTGGTGAGTATTCTTGTCTTGATACAAAGACCTGCTGATATGGGCTTGGTGTTTCATCATTTTTAGAACATGTATGCCGCCGCGTCAAAAGGCGAATTCAAAGGTTGGCTGATCATCATTCAAAACAAAACTGCAAATGCCGGTGCCGGGCTTGTGACCTTTGTGACCCCCTGCACCTCCATGACTCACTGCCAGGCGCAGACGGCCCGCTCTGATCGATCCGTCAGGCATGGATCGGTCGTCAGACGGGCGCAAACGGGTCATGCCGTTGGGCCGTTGGGGTGGAGGCTCAGGGGCCGGTGAGGTGGTTGCAACTTGACCCAAGAGTCCGTGGTTTCCTTTGTGTTTCTTCACTAGAAGAACGGGAGGAGTGCAGAAGAGTGGCCCCGAATACTCCTTTTGTTGGACCTAATCCTCAGCAAAATGCTCAATCCAGGGACTTTTAATGGGAACCAAGCAGGAACAAAGTAGCATCATCGGGTTCACGGGCGAATAAAACATAAATATATTTACGATACATGTCTAAATATATATATATGTATATAACAAGCCTGTTTCCAGGTTAAATCAGCTTAAGCGAAGTGCGTCGGGCGTGGAACAAAACGCCAGGCCAGGAGAGATTATGGAAGCTCCGTACCTTAGAGCTGAGATGATGTGACGGTGTGAGGGTTTGAGAAGGTCCAAGAGACGTGTTATGACACATGACAAGTAACGTGGTACTTGTTGTTTCTGTTTGTCGTTTTGAGGGTTTGACTGACTGCCAATTCAACAGAATCAATATTCTAGGTTTCAGAGATACTTGTTACTACGCAAATGCCAACGGGCATTCGAAGGGATTGTCATGGATTGGGAGTCGAACAAGAGTTCAGAGTTTGTTCAAGTTTGCATGCATGAAAACCTGTCTTGAGTCGAAGGCCGAAGCCTATTTTCTTGTATATATACTGTATAAACAGATGTTATTCTATTCCAGATCTGCGATCATATGAAATTAATCCACAAAATGAGCTAAATGGATCTGGACCAAACTTCTTTGATACTTCAACTTGATGGCTCTTCCCCGATCCTTCCGGTGTAGATTCATTGGACGTTTTCTCAAGAATGACTTTTTGGAGAGGATTAAGCTTCATGTGTTTTTTCATACAATCCAATCATCACTATCACCATCCTTTCCCGTGCTTCTTTGCCCTCAGCTGAATGTGTGCCATCTCAGGATGTCTGCCGAGTCAAGTCCGGTACCGGCGGCCCAGGTGCGGTCAAAAATCGAGACTGAAGGGATACCCAGACCAATAACGACATAACAACATGGCTTCCACATAGTGCAGAGTTTGAAGTTCCGTAGCATCTCAATGTCTATATTTTTGTCGTTATTGAAGATTGAAGACAATGCCTTTTTTCCATTAGGACCAAGAAACGGTTGCAAGCAGCAACGAACACTCATTTTCAATGGTGCCATTGCTCCCCCAAAGGACTTGAAACAGTTTGGACAACTAGACTTTGATTGAATGACATTTGGGTACTAGGCAATGAAAGAGGAAGAAATGGATGGAAGACCCTGTGAGACTGTGCCCTTTCTGCAGAGTGGTTGGTTTTGTGATCTCTCTTGGAAAGACCAACGGAATAAGAAGATCCAACAGGTGTGCCAGTGTGCCACACTAATTACAATACTTTGTTGGAGATTGCTCCTGTGAGATCTAAGTACGTGTAAAACAACGCCCGTCATCTCCCGTTACATACTGTATACATGTTTATACTGGAGATGTCAGAAACACCATCATGTTATCTTGAAAGCATGCGCAGTCCATTTTTGCGGGGACATATATAGTGCATATAATATGCAGTCCTACAAGAAAAAGGAATGTATTGATGAGGAATGCACAAGGTAACCTGCCCCTTCAAGGAAAAGCACCAGCAGCACTCCCAAAATTATCATACAAACTACCCAGAACTTGCAGAACCACCATCACTGAAGCTACAGATGGTACAATCCTTTTCGCAAACATGTGTGGGATGCTATTCTTTGGATGATGTAGATATGGGGAAAATACGTCAAAGAACTGCAAGAGAGAGGTTTACTGACTGGTGCCACTCACGAGGAATTTGAGAATGGATCCAAAGGAATCTCTATTATTCGGGGCGTAACTGCGTAACTTCCCTCATTGCCTACGAGTTGCACCGTGGCACCCGGTTGTTGAGTCAGACGGTCATCCTTGGAGGCTGAGAACGCCAAGCTCCGCCAGGCACGGAAGTGCTTTTTGTTCAGCGGGGTTTGGAATTGGCATGATTCAATTGCCCATAGGGCGGTTTGGGCTATGACGGATCATGCAGACCATTGATTAGTCGACTCCCCTTACGAATGAATGGTTTTACATTAGTCTAAACATATCTAAACATGACAACAAACGTGACAACTGCTTCACATTGGCAGTCACTTCTGTGAGCCTTTGGGATTGTCCATCAGGTGGCCAAAAACACTTAGAGTCTTAGAGGTAGATCACACACACACATGCAATGCAAGGTTTTAATCTTGTGATGTTGTTTTTCTCAACCTTGTGGCTTTCTGGGGTAGCCTGCTTAGATCGAACCAGCACGTCTTGTGGGCAGGATCATCCAACCATCCCGGAAGCGTTCAGGAAATAATTCCTGGATGTGTTTCTTTTATATAATGCATCGCGATTCACATGTATTTGCTGTTTCTTTTGCGTGCACACCAGGATGCACATCTCTCCAGGAACGGACAGGTGAAGATGTTGTCGTGCATTTTGTGCCTTGACACCAACTGCAGCGGCGTTCCAGGCACGTGGTGACTCGGCCTTGGCTCCGCCTGGCAAGGCAGGACGGTCGGAAACGGTCGGGTTGCTTTGGAAGTTGGGAACCAGGTTCTGCCTTGTCAGAACAGTCGCCATTGGCTCGAGTTTTAATGCGCGAGGTGCCGTCACCGTTTGGATCTTCGCCCGTTGGCAATGGCTATAGCGGTGGAGGCTGCTGAATCCCAGACTTTGGATGTGCCTGTTAAAGGTTCATGCTGCAAGGAGTATTTTCCTGATGACCTCCCAAGCCAACTTGAAGGAGTAATGTCTCCTGAGGCATACTCTCGTGTGATGGCCGAGCAAACCAAAAACCAACGCGCTTATTGGTCTGGTCCTGATACGTTGTTGCTGACACCTTTGACACTGGGCGTTTATTTGTGTGCCAAGACTTACTGGCATGAAAGAAAGATGAACAAGATTTTGGCGGAGCATCCTGACATTCCGCACAACAAAGTGAAGATCAGATACGAGAGCAGATCTGCGGGCGACAGCTCGTACGATGTCATTGCGATCACCATTTTTGCGTGAGAGGATGTGGCATGGTGGTTGGGTAGCTGCTGGGAGTTCAATTCTGAGTATATACTTGATTGTGTTTAGTCTAGTTTTGATACATGTGACAGTGTTGTTTAAAACAACATCAAAGTTCTACATCCTGATTGAACAGGACATGATGGATGCCGTTGTCATGCTTTCAATGACCACTGACAGCCTACATGTTGGCGAAGCAAAAAGTCCTCAGACCATCACATGTAGATGCTCATAGAACGTATACTAGCAATACTAGAGATATGAAAACATCACTTAAAACTTAACGCCTCTATACTTCAAAATATCATGCCTATTGAGACCATCTTGCTGCTCTCAACATACTGCAAAGGTCAGCCCCGTGTTACCTCCTTCCTGCCAGAATGTCTCTCGCTTAGTTCCGGAAGAGTTGGAAGACCCGAAAACCAATGCGACCCAAGAGCCGCAGAACGCTTCCGCGGCAGGGCTCGACTCCCTTGACCTTGCACTCCAAGTTCGAAGGCGTGTGACCGGGCACGACCCCTTCCGAAGTCGATGGCACGAGGGTTAGGGATCAAAGTCGCAGCTTGGCGGAGGGAAGTGGAACGAAGTGGAACGGAGGTGGCGTGTCAGATCCCCCAGGCATCCCCAGGCACTATCCATTTACAGGGGAATCTGACAGTGTTATCAAGTGACAGGAGGATGTGCAATGACGTTCTTCCAGTCGACTTGCCGTAGACTGGTGTCCTCTACGAACTCGTCTTGTTCTGGTTCTACAGCGGTCCTTACCTGAACAAAGGAGACTCTGTGGCTAAAGTTGCTAAAGACATCAAATAACATCAAACAGATCATGGGACTCTTTGTGGATCATCCAAAAGTGCAACTCCCTTTTTTTCAGCTCGAGCTGCCCCCTCCCCGCCCTTCCAGGCCTCCGCGACGAGATGAAGCGGCGCCGCTCGGCGGCGGGGACGACGCAAGCCGTGGGGGAAGCCCAGAGGAACAGAGCTGGGAGAAGGATCGATTGCCCATCTATAGGGAATATAGCAAGATAGCCGATATAGCCTGCCCACGCTTTTTCAGGAAGTTAAACGGCGGATGAGAAATCTTGCTTGCATCAGCTTGTGGGCTATGTCAATTGGGGGGGGGCGAGTTTTTGTTTGGCAAATCTGTGGACCCTTCACAAAGCGCCATGTCATGGTCAACTTCTGCCAGTGGAAAGGGGTGCTTTCGGGGCGCGTCGAGCAGATTGCAGCTTCGTTCTTGGCAGATGCTGCGGTGTAGTCTCGTGCTGTTTGGCCGGGGGTGAGCATATTGATACGTATGATATATTGTTCTAGATGGCAGTGGAAAACACACAAACAAAAAAAACAAAAACTAAAATCACACAAATCAGCTTGAAGGCAGCACAAAACGAGATCAATCTTGGAAGATCTTGGAAGCATTTGCATCTATGTGTTACTCATGTGAAAAATATGAGGTGCCAGATAATTTGCCGAAGTGGCAGTATTTACTTGGGTGTGCTTTCAGTCGAAGGGGACTCTGACGAAAAATATCCAAAATTTGATATCCATGGGAAGTATTCTTGTAGTTTCCATGTCTATCGTTAGCAGCCTCATGTCCAAGTGGATCACAGGTGCCAGATCCGCAGGAGACGGCAGAGGCTGTGGTTGCTGAGGCTAGATGGAACAGCTGGTGATTTGGAGAGTGCAAACTGGGGGATCCTGGGGATCCATATTTCCGAAACGGGCGAGGAGCTGCTGCGAGCTGTATAAGTGGACTAGATTGGATGGTTCGTGGAGGTCATGATTGAATGATGGTGGGTGAGAGGATGTGAGAGCTTTCATCCATAATATTCACAATAGAATATACATATATATATATAGTATACATATATATATAGTATACAATATATATATATATATTATTGTATACTTTGGATGGTCTAGAGATGTTTAGATGAATTTTGAATCTCACTTAGGATTGAACAGGGCCCTTCAAAGAGAGAAGGTATGAAAGCTATGGCAACAACCCACTGAAGGACTTCAAGGAGGTTGGCTTTTAAGCCGCAGCAACGCATATTGAGCAAAGATGTTGTTTGCTCAGAAAAGGTAGAAATGACATGAAATGAATACTGTATATGCTTTGGTTTGTATATTTATTTTGATTTCAAGGAACCCACCCAAGAACTTCCAGGAACCATCCAAGGAAGATCATCATTTCAGGGATGATGTCCGGTCCACTGGAGTCCTGGTGACGAACGCGAAGCCATGAGAAGGTGCTGTCCCGTACCACCGCTGTTCCACCAGCGGAAACAGGTTCACCGATGGCGCAACCGTGCTTGGCCTCCTGGTTTGTGGCCACAGGAACCATGGTAACCACATACACGACCTTCACAATCACAAAACAAAACACTGCCCAAACTGGTGAGCCTTCCGAGGCAACTTGTATGTACTGTTTCGGGTGGAGAGCAAGTGATTCTTTAAATGAAAAATCTACTTAACGAAATAATGGATTGCCAAACTTTTTGTTTTGATTGCTCAATCGCATATATATCTTGGATGTAAACACTACAGTATAGTTACTAGGGACCGATGTCGATTCATCCTGCAACCCATTCTCGATTTGTGATGTCTGCACTCCGTGGAAAACCAGCGCCGACCACTGGCCCTGGGGTGAGGCAGCTCAAACCTCGCGGTCCTCCTTTGTGGGCCTCTCAGATGCTGTAAGCCAGACTGAAGGATGATGCAATCAGAGTGATGTTTCTATTCTTTAGCAAAGAGTTAAAAGTCAGATGAAAAAATAATAGAACATGCACGAGTTACAAGACTTGTGTATGTTTATGTCCAGTGAATGGATGTTCAGAAGTTTCACATCGAGGACTTCGACGATGCTGTTGACACTCTGAAGTAGTCATCCTCGTTAAATAGATCAACTGGGGGATAGATTTGCACAACTGTTGGCAAATGGCTTGACTACGTGAGGCCTTTGAGGACCACAGGTGTCTTGTGGTTCGTTGCTTTCACTAGCCCTTTGAGGGCGTTTGTTTCCAGGATATTTTCTGAAAGGTGTGAACTCAAACTTCACATTGAAACACCCCAATGCGGTTCTGGGCCAACTCCCAGGGAGAGATTTTGTGATGTTTGTGGGCTCACAAAGAGTGAAAAAGAACTTTGAACTTTTTTTTTGTGATGTTTCTCTAGAGACTAGCCGATTTTGGGTGTTTGTGACTTTTTGGCACTTTGAGTGGCCCGCTCTGTGGACTCAATGGGGCTATTCATTTTTTCCACTCAGAAGTCTCATGTTTGAACCTTGCCCAGTCCCTTGCCCTGTTCTTGCGGTTTTGAGGAACGAAATCCGTACAATAACACACCGCATGCCTCAGGCAGAGTAGTGAGCACTGGTGTTTGGTGTGCGCATGATGGAAAGTCTTCCACCAGTACGTCTCATACGACCGGTGTTTTGTGATACTCTCCGACGAAATGGTCTCCTTTGCGAGGCGTGTACGAATGAAAAGAGCCCCCCGTGGCTCGGCGGGCAAAGCTGGTTGGGATAGGGATCGGAATATGCTGGCTGTGCATCGATTGTAGAGTCTTATTGTAGGAGGGCCTAGGGAAATAATTCTCCAAGATGCAAGAGTCACAGGAGTCACGTTGTGACATCCTGTGACATCCTGTGACACTTCTAAAGAGCCAGAACTTCACATGGTCAGAACTTCATCCTATTTACCCAGATCGTGGACCTGTTGAGGAACAAAAGGATTGGGACCTCGCGGTCGTGGACACTGAATGCATGGTGAATCCGGTCGTATGCGCACATGGGTGGGTCACGCGGCTGGGTCCAAACAATAAGTAGCTTCGGCTCTTTGGGAGGATCCTTAACGTTTCGACTAACGTTTGGTTTATGGCCGGTACTACGATGTGCGGAGACAGGGTCTTTGCGGTTTGGTCCAAAGAAGCTGATTCTGGTAGCGGCACGGCTTAAGGAGACCCACTTGCGGACCTGATTTCGGGTGGACAAGATGGACATGTTGGCTCCTTTGGACGGCCTCGGCCGCGAGGTCAACGAGTCCGGTCATCCCCTCTTGGGCCGTGCCCAAGGGAAGTGCAGCTGCCAGGGGAGCCCAGAGGAGTCCAAGAAGTTACGGAGGTCATTTCGTGTCAGAATTTGTAAAGACTATCTACACACCTTTTGGGGGAAGTCCGGTTTGCGGTCGAATGCTGGTTGTTGGGGACACAGAAGGGAAACGAGTTGCAGATCAGAGGCAAACGGAAGGATAGTGCACAGAAAGAGTTTTGCAAACACCTATTCTACTAACATCATGGACGGCGCTGGACATTCGTGGAACCCGGGGCTATTCGTGGATGTTTTGTGGAATGGTGGGCCAGTAGGAAAACTGACTGCAACAAAATCCCAGAACCTTCGCAGAACTTCGTGGAAGGTATTTTTGATGCACTAACTTCGTATAAGCGATTTTTGCTGACCCCCTTTCTCCACACACCCTTCAATTAGCCTTCCATATATGATTAACATACTGTTTACACAATATACTAACATAAGAAGTTGTTTGAAAGTTGTTGTTTAATTGTTTAATAGCGGAATGGAAACAGTTTTGAGCACAGTCTTCTTAAGCGGAGGGTGTTCCACTTCCATTTTGTTGGAGAGAGGGCCTGGTGAGCTAGGTCAAACTCTTGTGTGAGCCGACGTGTTATCCATCTGGATGGAATGTACCCTCATTTTTTGGCTGGGGACATTGGCAATTTGAAAGGTCCTGTTACTGTAGTCCTTGTGACTTGGTCACAATCGCTGACTGGGCCCCTTTGATTGAATATCTCCTGAAAGGACATCACCTTTTGCTGGAACAGGATTTCTCCGTGCGTCCGTGTTCGCTTAGAGTCAAGACGAGGGAACCTTCTAACTTAACCTCACATTTACAGATGGCCTTGCTTGCTTGTTTGCTTGCATGTTTGGGGGTCGATCACCACAACCGCACAAGGAGGCGGTCTACATGCAGGTAACACGGAATCGCATGAATCAAACGGCGTTTGTGTCACTGCTGGCCTGTGAATTGCCAAAACTCTGCAACTCCTTGGTGTCTCTTGTTTGGGTTGAAGTTCTGCCTTTCCATGATCAGACGACACATCAGAGTATTCTCGGGAACAGCCTGGCGCCTGGCGCACGCTCCAGACTTTCAACATCCTTCATAGCAACAAGGCACGCAATCCAAATGACGTTCCGTGCTTCAAAGGTTTCCCGGAAGGCGCAGAAGTTTGGACATGCAGAGGGTGTGGTGGGAAAAGAAGCACTCTGCCCATTA